AAGTAGGTGCTTTAGACCACTGAGCCATCTCTCCAGCCCTCCCAAAATGTTTTAAAGGCAGGTCTGTTAAAGCATGTGGAGCTGGGGATGGAACCACGGTATCCTGCACCTGACTGCTTAAACAACTGAGCTAATGGCAGGCCCCAAAGCCTCCCTCCCAAGTAGCTAGGGGTTTTTTTTTGGTTGGTTGGTTTTTTCGAGATAGGGTTTTGCTATGTAGTTCAGGCTGGCCTCACACTCCTAAGGATCCTCCTGCCTTCACCTTCCAAGTGGTGGAACTACAGATGTGCACCACCACACTCAGCCAGGAAGTTTTCACAGACAGGATCTTGCTACATTATTGAGGCTAGCTTTGAACTCACTATATAGCCAGGCTGGCCTCAAACTTGCAATTCTGCTGCCTTAGCTTCTAGAGCACAAAGTTAACAGGTATGTACCACTATGACCAACTTACACTTTTTTTTTGTACCAGGATCAAACTTAGGAACTTGCACTTGCTGGGCAGGTACTTATGCCACTGAGCTATCGCCTGGCCCAATTACATTATAAAAAATACTGATTTTGGCCAGGCATGGTGGCACATCCCTACAGTCTCACACTTGGGAGGCTGAAACAGGAGGATCACATGAGTTCACAGCCAGTCTGGACTATATAGTGAGTTTTTTGGTTTTTTTCGGGACCAGAGATTGAACTCAGGCCCTTGCGCTTGCCAGGGAAGTGCTTATTTTACTGAGCCATCTCCCCAGCCCTATATAGTGAGTTCTAAGCCACTGTAAACTATATAATGAGTTTGTGTCTCAAAAAATCAAACAAAAATAAATAAAATACTGATTTTTTGGAAACCCTAAGGACATGTGGTTGCTATAACAAATACATTCAATAAACTAGCTTAAATTAGGCTCATTTAAAGTAAATGTTTACATATTTCTTTTAAAATGCTAATTAAAGGGCTAGCCAAATAACTCAGTGGATAAAGCACCTGCAAACAGGCGCAGGGGCCATTGGTTTGATCCCTGGGTCTGACCTGCTGCATTGAGACTGGGTGTGGTGGCTGGCCCTTGTAATCCCAGCACTCGGGAAGCTGTAAACAGGAGAATCAATAAGAGTCCAATCTAGTAGTGAGACCCTGAACACCCTGAAGACCCTTCCCTAAAATACAGGGAAAAAATGCTAATTTAGGGCTGGTGAGATAACACAGCGTCTAAAGTACCTGCCTAGACAAGCTTAGGTAAGCGCAGGGACTACGGTTCAATCCCCAGCACCACATGCGGTGCCAGCCCCACCCCTAGGGCAGGCTGAGCTGGCTACACACACATATACACACACACACACACACCAAAAAATAAAAAAATAAAAAAAAAATAGACACAGGTATGACACAGGAGGATCACAAGAGATTAGTCTGGTTTAAACAGTGAAACACTGTGTCCAAACAAAAGCTAACAAATAAGAGCTGGGGAGATGGCTCAGTGGAATAAGTGCTTCCCTGGCGAGTGCAAGGGCCTGAGTTCAATCCCCAGTTCCAAAAAAAAAAAAAAAAAAAAAGATAACAAATAACCAACAGAAAACAAAGCTAAAGTGATGGCACATGCCTATAATCACAACATTCAAGAGGATGAGGCAGGAGGACTGCTATGAGTTTGAGGTCAGCCTGGGCTATGTAGTGAGTTCAAGGCCAGTCTGAACTATATAGTAATACTCTGTCTAAAAAACAAACAAGGGGGCCGGGAGATGGCTCAGTAGAATAAGCGTTTGCCTGGCAAGCCCAAGGGCCTGAGTTCAATCCCCGGTTCCACCAAAAAAATAAAAAATAAAAAACAAACAAAAAAAGGCAAATAAATTATCTTTGGGAATACTTACTATCAAAGAAAAATGGCAATAATAAGAAAACAGAGATAATTTTAAAAATAAAAGATAATCAGATACATTTTGGTAGCAAAATAAGGGGAAAAAAGAGTAAATCTAAAGAAACTATTTTACGTGCACATACAACTGAAGAACTTTGCTTAAGATGGTGACATCACAAGTTGGCAACCAGTCCTATTGCTAGACCCATGTTGGAAGGGTAAAGGTTGAGTAGAGCCCCTTAGGGCAGCCACAGATCCTAATGGACTCATTGCCCGGAAGTGGACTTCCCATCCAGTCAGGAAATATGCAGAGCCCTACAAACAATGTTCACGATTAACTTCATCTGAAAAACTACATTTGTCAAAAGGCTTTCATGTCCTAGTGACAATGTACAAACAAGCATCGGGAAGGCTTAAGGACTCCTCTGGCTGAAAATGAGACCAGACTCAGAACCCCAAGTTAATCCAACAAGACCATGTTTAATGAACACCAAAGTTGGCATTACAGGCCAGGGCAGTGGGAACTCAGAAGAAGGGGTGGCATTGCTCTGTGGGGGTGACACCCCCTCCCTGTATCTCTCAAGAGGGCCTCAGAAGGTTCCCCTGTCCATGAGAACAGAGATAGAGCACCAGTGTATTTCACAAGTGAGAAACATAAGCCCAGGGAAGGCTTACCAGCTTGCTTAAAACCAAACAGGATTTTTGTTCTGCCTCTTACACCTCCTGACCCCACTCAAAAACAATGTGAGTGAAAGGTCAAGGAAGGATGACATCCCTTGCAGGAAACCAAGTATAGATGTGGGGATGGACACAGAATAGCCCATGGTGGGGAGTCAGCTACAGACATGATGGGAATGGTCACCTGTCCATATGGCCTACGTCTCTAAGGCCCCCCAAATGGCCACTTGGGTAATGCTTATCCCCTCTTCCCTTTGTGATGCCTAGAGCCTCAGGACCAGCTGAGAGAAGTTATACAACAGATGGGGAAGAGTTGTGGGGCTATAGATATCCCTCAGCACCTATGACTATCCAGCTAGCACACAGGCAACACAGGGGCAAAATAGCCTTAAGACTCTAAGCACGAAGGGAAAGCACATAGAAAGCTATGACATGTGGCCAGCCACAGCACCATACATAGAAGGGATAGGAGGAGGATGTACTCCCAGGCAGAGTGACCCAAGAGGTGCTGTGTGGACAGGACCAGGGAGGTGCAAAGCCTAGAAGAGAAGAGGAAGTGAGCTTGAAATAAGCATGCCATGCTGAGGGATTTGGGTGTGACTCTAGACGAGGTCACTGTAGTAATGAGAGAAAAGAGGCAGCTACAGAGACTGCAATGGGCTTGAGGTGACCACCAGGCTAGAGAGGAGGGCAGAGAAGCTCCCATGAATCCAGGCATCTCTGAGCAAGTGCCTGAATATGGAGTTGGCTGGTATAGGGCTGGTCAAAGAGGGTCCCTCTTGGGTCACTTCTTCAGGTGTGGACTTGCAGTGAGGCCCAGAAAGCTTCAGGCTCTGCAGAAACAGAAGGACACATGACATGCCCTCCAGCCCCCATCCCACAGGCCCCTTGTCCCTGGAGTAACCAGGAACCACTGAGCTCAACACAGATCTTGCCTCCCCCTCTCCCACCTACAGCAGCAAATGTGGCCTAGGGGAGTCTTAGAGTGAGGTTGCTGCTGGAGGGAAACTCTAGGGAAGAAGGACTAGTCAGAGGCTGGAGTGCCTAGTGCAGGGATCTTGACAGGGAACAGTGGCAGTGGTGCCTGTCTCAGACCCTCATACAGGTGAGAACAGGGCCCTTGAGAGAACAGTGTCTTCAAGCACCAGCAGAGGGCACCATGGATCTACACTTGCCAGAAAGTTCCTTCACCTTTCCACCCCTACTTATAGGGGCTAAGGCTCTTTTGAGGAGACTCAAGGACAGCAAAATGTATCCCCTACCCCCAACCTCCTGGGCAAAAGACACCTCCACAGAGAGCCATGGCCCTGGGCTGGGAGAAGAGCGCTTCCTATACACACAATAAATGGTGCTAGGTTGTGTCCAGTAGCCCCTTGAGCTCCATTCCAGAAGGTTAGGTTCAGGAGACCCAAGTCCAAGACAAAGGGCTAAGCTCAGCCAGGTGAGGCCAGAAAGCCCTGCTGCATGCATGCCCATGTGGGATTCCCCTGCTCCCCAGGATGTAGCTTGGCCTTAGTCCCACAACCATATAACAGCAGCTCAGTCACCGTCAGTGCAGGTTCATCACTGGATGTCAGGGTCTTGGAAGCCCCAGGCCTCCACTGCAGCAATAAGGAAATTCTCAGAGCACAGGGGCTGGTTGTTGAAAGTGTCACAGTGTCCTGTGCGGCCCCGGTTCAGGTCCCCATCGATGTAGAGTGCCTGGCCGCCCCCTCCTCCTGCAGGATTGTTTAGGTCAGTGGCCATTCCTGTCAAACAGCCCCTTGCCCCCACTGCCCCATCAACATTACCCTCAAGGTATCTCTCTGTCTGAACATAGGCAATCTCAGCAGTCTTTTTTTTTTTTTTTTTTTTGAGACAGTCTCATCATGTAGTTCAGACCAGCCTTGAACTATGGTGCTCATGCTGGCTTTGAACTCGTGATGATCCTCTTGCTTCAGTCTCCCAAATCCTTGGATTATAGGTATGTGCCATCACATCTGGCCTGTCTTTTTTTTTTTTTTAACACAATGTTTTGCTATGCAGTTCAGGATGACCTTGAACTCACTTTGTAGCCCAGGCTGGCCTAGAACTCTCAGCAATCCTCCTGCCTCTGCCTCCTGAGTACTGGGACTATATGTGTATACCATTACAACTGGCTTCTCAGCAGTTCTTGCCCTGCAATGGCCTTGATAAATAAACCAAAGTCCCAGACTTGGTTGTGTAGTGCAAGCTGACCCTCACTTTCTAGCCTATTTTTCTCTTCCCTTATTACCCACAACCACCCAGGGCCTCTTTCTCTGCCCTCATAGAGGCTCAAGTGAGACATCTGTCCCAGGGTCAGCAAATGCTTCAGCAACCCACAACCCCCTTCACCATCTTCCCTGTGCTGTAGGGGCCCAAGATACTTGGAAGGTGAGGGTGCCCACCAATGATGAGGCAGTCATTGCCCCCAGCCATGAACATAGACTCAGCCTTGGAGGGCAGGTTGAAGTGCCGAGCAGCGAGGAATGGCGAGAGCCGGTCAGCAGGGTCTGAGGGGACAGAGTGGCTAAGTGGAGAGTGAGTACTGGTCTCTGAGGACAAGAAGGAGGTCGGCTTGGTCAGCTCCGGGTGCTTGATGACCACCCACTCGTAACGCTGCACCTCGGGCTGCAGCTGAAGGTGAATGAGCAGTGTAAGTTACTGGTATATAGGACACTTCTAGGCCTGACTGTCCCCTGTCACATTCAGAAATCTGCTACAGACAAAGCCCTAAACCAAGGCAAGGAAAATCATGCCACATAAACTGAAGTCTACCTATCAAAACAAGAAGTAAATGAGATTATTCTACAGGGTAACTACATAATAAAAATAAAACATGAGAGCCATGTGAGTCCAAGTGCCCAAGGCAAAAGGCCTGCTGACTCCCAAGCTCCCTTGGGAGCTTCAGTAATGGTTAGGGCAGAGAGGACCCTGGCTAAAAGTTGAGGAGGGGCCGTGCTCAGCACCACTCACCCTGAACACAAAGCATTCTCCAGTTCCAAAGAAGCTCAGTTTGCCGCCAAATTTATTTCTCTCACTCCAGTCCGTTGATAGGTAAGCTCCACACACCTGGGGAGAAGACGAATGAAACTGGAACTTTCTCCCCCTAGGATTCAGGCCTGCTGAGGATCCTGAGTCACAAGACACAGCTAGGGATACTGTGTGTCACAGCCCCTACCACCACCATGGACAAGGCAGTGTGGGAGAGAGTTGTTTGGGGAGGTACACTCCATTCACACTATGGCTTAAAGCTAGACACAAAGGTGAATGCCTCTGGATAATTAATCTCCCTCTGTGGCCCTATAACACAGAAGCAAGCTCTACCTGTGGGCCACATCCACATTCAGACTTTGGCATCAGCCTAGGGAGCTGCAGACTTCATCAGGACTTGAGGCCAGACCCCAGGGCTCCCTCTAGTCCCTCCTCACCTCCTTCTGTGTGGTCTTGATGAGCAAGAGGGTTGGCTCATGTCCTTCACACTGGAAAAAGAACCTGAGGACAGAGATCACATATGCTACTCTGGATGTCCTCCTCACCACTTCCTGCCAACTTCTACTGACCCTCAGTAGGGCTGGGGATAGAGATCTAGGTGGCCTTCTCATCTGGCTTTTTGGGCCATCCAGGGCTGTGTGCCCTAGCATGGTCAGGGAAAAACATCACAGATGGTCCCCCAATGGCAGATCTGAGTGCCAAGTGCCACAGGGAAGCAAGAACCAGAAGAACAGGTCCTCACTGTAGGAAGGCTTGGCATGTCCTTGGGAGCCTGGACATGTGGGGAGGCCTGAGGATGCCCATGTGGTGACTGGTATTCAGCTAGCACCCTTGGTAGGCCTGGGCGAAGTGGCTCTAGCTATGCCAAAGTGTCTGTATGGCTGTAGACAGAGTCTAGGGGAGGAGATGGACATCTCTGTCTCCATCATCCCTTCTGTGAGCCAAACCAGAACAACTGAGACCTCCTACTTGAGACTCGAGGGCTGGATACCAGGTAAACCTAGCTAAGCTGCCAAGGAGGATAGTGTGCTCTGGGGAAACCCTTGCAGGGGAACCACATGAATGACTGGTCAAGAGCCATTTGGCCAGAGGCTAGCACAGACATAGCCCCATAAAAGGCCAGGCAGGCCAGGCCTGTGACCAACATGTGAAGTGATGAGTACAGGGAAGCCTGGGCCAGCTGCCCCATGTAGTTCCTCTATAATGATTCTGTGAGCTCCTGAAGTAGAAACTCTGCCTCCCATGCCTGTGTGGGACACCAAGCTGCAATATGTATGGCAATAATCTCCAAAGTCTAGGTGACCTGGAAATGACAGAAGCCTACAGAAGAGTTTCCTAGTTCTCAGGCCCAACAGGAAAAGCCAGGGGTCTAGGTTCAAAAGCTCATCTACATGCCTGGAGGGACTGAGCAGCACCCTTGGGCCTCACCTGGTCAGGCTGTACCCATGCTGCAATGAGGAGAAGAGCAGGAGGGGCTGGCAGAGGGCGAATCGTTCAGGGACCCAGGACCAAATATCTCTCATCTCCTTCACACTGACGATCTCTGAGCGAAAGTTCTCTGCATGGACGGCTAAGTGCACAAACTGCCTAGGGAGAATAAGAGGAGTCAGAGCCTTCAATGATCTTGGCCCTGACCATACCCACCCCCCAGGCTCCACAGCTTCTTTTTAGAACTAAGCTTAGAGGGGATATCTCACCTAGTTGGTCAGGTTTAGAGCTTAGTTCTAGGTGCAGACAGGAAAAAAAACAAGGTAAGGCTCTTCTCAGAAGACCCCCTCCCACCACAAAGAGGGAAGAGTGCCCAGCCAGTGAGGCAGGTGGGGCAAAGACACCTTTTCTCTAAGAAATCAGGACAGAGGGAGTCAGCTCGGGCAAGACAAGGCTACAGGGCCGGGCAAGCACTGGCAGATCACACAATTCAAACAGACAGACAAATGGTGTCAAAGTCAGGCTGAAGCAGTGAGCAGAAGCCAGCCGTGAGAGCCTGGGAAACAGCAAGCAGCCAGTCCATTGCTGCTGGCAGAAAGGCAGAGAAGCAAGGCATGGAGATGTGGTTTCAGACCTACCTTTTAGAAAGTGAGACACTGAAAAACAGGAGAAAGCAACAGACACAGAGAAGAAAAACAGACAAGGAGAGGTTAGTGGTGGATACCAAACCCTGGATGTGCTTTCTTGTGGCCCTGGAGAAAGAGAACTAGATGCCAATAGCCACACCTACAGCATGATTGCAAGATCAGCTGCCAAACACCATGTCTCTGCCCAACCCTGATCCCATTAGTGAGGCCATGTCCAGTCACTAGACCACCTATGAAGCTCAGAGGGCTGCCTTGACATGACCCTAGGAGGTAAGCCAGGAACTTCTGAACCCAAGAGTGTCCAGCTTTCATCTCAGCTGAGGGTTTCCATCCTTAAGCACAAGCCCCAGCTTGTCTTACTATGGCCATAACCAGGAAGGCCCTTCCTACTATCCAATGTCTTTTTATTAATAGTGGGAACAAGACAGATGACCAAGAATCTGGTAGAAAAAGCTCATATCCCCAAGATGCATTTGATCAAAACTCTACATTCTTCTGTAAATTCTTCTCAGCCTCAGCACACACACACACACACACACACACACACACACACACACACACACACACCCTTGCCTACCTCTTCTGCTTGACAGTGATGCCTTTCTGTTTCAGTGCTTTCTCATTGGCCATCTGGAGGAGGTGGATCTCCTTGCGAGAGAAGAGACGAATGGCAAATGCTTTTTCTAGCAGCTTCTCAGGGGACACAGTCTTGGCAATGTCCTTGACAAACATGCGTATGTCCTGCTTCACATTGTCTGATTCAAGGGGCTGCCCAGCTCTTACCTTATGGAAGAACTTGAGGATGGCCAGGGCTACACGGTATAATACTTTGTAGCCTTCTACAAGGAAGACATCAAAGACACGGGCAAAGTAGTTGAGGGGTAGCTCCCCAAAAAGCCAGCGCTGCCAGTCAGAGTAGACTTGCAGCACATCTTCTGACACAGCCACCATTAGTTTGTGGGCTGCTTGGCAGTACTTGTTCACCAGGTCTCCAAATGTCATGCAGGATGACTCAAAAGCCAGGAAGCTCTGGTCAATGAGCTTCCTGCTGGGGTCATTGCAGGCCAAGATACGGCAGGCCTTCTCAAAGCATTCAGCCTCATCAATGCTATAGTGGAGCAGCAGGGCCACCACAGCTGGCAGCGCAGGGCAGAAGGAGATGTCGGGGAACTGGTTGGCAATGCACAGGAGGATCTTGCGTACAGCCCCCTCACCTCGGGCATTCAGGCAGTAGCTAGGCACCTGAGTGTTGTCCACAAACTCAGGCAGAGGCAGACTGCTGCTGCTGTGCTTGCCTACAATCTTGCCCACAATGTCACTGTACACACTGGCATCCGGTGTAACTGTGCGGCAAGGGATGTCCCGAATTAGGCGCTGGTATACCTTTCCCCGCAAGGTGTGGCTCTGAGCCCAGAAGCCCTCTCGAGCCAGCTGTTTGAGCTCCTGAAGCTCAGTCCAGCTCAGTTCCTTTGGTCCAAGATCCTGGATGGCAGCATCCATCTTGTCTTTGTCTACAAAGCAGTTGTACACTGGGGAGTCCATGTTGCCTGGTGTGCCTGGGAGGAGGATTTGAAATGCAAGGTTGGGAGCAAAGAGTGGCTAAATACTTCAGCCCCCTGTCCAGGGGTTTTCTGCTAACTTGAGCACCATTTCATAACCTGTAGAATTAAAAACCATTTTTATTTATATGACTGAAGATGAATATTTTTATTCTCCTTGAGTCAAGGTTTTACCATGTAGTTCAGGCTACACTCGAACTCATGGCAATCCTCCTGCCTCAGCCTTCCAAATGCTGGGATTACAGAAATGCACCACCATGCCTGGCTTTTATTTTAAAGAACTTTTTGTTTGTTTGTTTGAATCTTTCTATAAACATACTAGAAGGTGGCACATCCTTATAATTCTAGTATTCTGGGAGGATGAGGCAGCTGGATTGCAAGTCTGAACCCAAATTGGTTAATTTAGCAATTTAGTGAGGACCTGTCTCAAAATAAAAGATAAAAGGTGCTAAAAAAAAAGGGGGGGGGCGGCGGGGAGATGGCTCAGTAGAATAAGCGCTTCCCTGGCAAGCGCAAGGGTCTGAGTTCAAGCCCCGGTTCCGCAAAAAATAAAATAAAAATAAAAATAAATAAATAAAATATGCTGAGGATATAGCTCAGTGTAAAGGCCCTCTGTTCAAGCCCCAGTACTGAAAAAAAAAAACAAAAGTACTAAAAAGGTTTCCATTTAAGATATGAGGCTGTTCTGAGACGTTACTATGAACTTCTGGGAGTAACTTATTTTTACAAAGCTCATGTGTTACTGGAACAGGTCACAATTTCCTTTTTTTATTTTTATTTTTTATTTTTTGTATTTAGGGCAGGGTGCACAGAGTGTAGGGTCTCACTGCATAGATAGGACTTGTAGTGATCCTCCTATTTAAGCCTCCCAAGTGCTGGGATTACAGATGCGTGCCACTATGCCCAGTCTCAACCGCAGGCTCAACATACCCTGGGGGCAGGGCCGGCATGGCAGGCCTGGGGATCGAACTCCTGGCCCCTGCTTCTGCCTAAGCAGGCATTTTAATCTGCTATAGTTTCTGAGTTTTGAGAAGCTAATGGGGAGGTTCCTAGAAGGGCTCCAGTGGCTGACTCTGCTGCAAACAGTGCTCAGCTCAGGGAAGTTCCCCTTGGCTCCTAAGGACCACTTTATATTGTCCTGAGCCTTTTTGGAAGGGAGTATGGGATCAAGAGGAGCCACTGACCAATTACTCCTTTTAGCTCTCTGAGATATTAGGCCTTCGGCCACCTATGAACTAAAGATCCACACTGTTCTGTCCCATCATGCACAAGCTTGGACTCTGTTTGTTTGCTGATCTTAAAATCATGGCAATCCTCCTACCTCAGCCTCCTGAGTACTACATTTAGAGGCATGTGCCAATACACCTGGGCCAAGATGGGATTCCTAAATTACCATTTAGCTTTCTGAAATGGCCAGGGGAAGCTAAGTTTTAGGAAGGTAACTTCAAGTGAATCAATGAATAGAGAGCTGAGCAACAAGTGGAAAGTACAACAGTTTCAAAATTAAACATTTCTACTTGAAAGACAGCCACTTGAAAGGCTGAGGCAGGAGGATTACAAGCTTGAGGCCAGCCTGGGCAACTTAGCAAGACCCTGTCTCAAAAAAATAAAAAAGGGCTAAGGATCTACTCCAGTGATAGAATGTCCCTGAGTTCAATCCTCAGTACTAAAAGGAAATAAAGGCCAGGTGTAGTGGTACATGACTGTAATCCCAGTGCTTAGGAGGCTGAAGCAGCAAGATCATTGTGAGTCTGAGACCAGCCTGGGCTACAACGTGAGCTCAAGGCCAGCCTAAGCTGCATAGTGAGACCCTGTCTTAAAGAGACAAAAATAAATAAATAGAAAGAAAAATTACTTTTCTTTTCATATTAGGGATTTAAAAAATTTAGACATTTCTGGGTCCAAATCCCTAAGTCTTAGGGGATTTGGTGGATTTGGTGTTGGCTCACCATAGTAATAACTGTTGTGACTCAGGTACATACCGAAGTAATAAGTAAGACATACTACTTGAGACTCTGAGCAGAGCATTATAATGGCAGTTTGCTGTTTTGGATTCCATAACTTATACCTCTCTTTTGCCAAAGGCTAATCTTGGGTACACAAGCTTATATGACTATCAGTCACACAGATATGTAAACATATGTAAAGACATATGAATATCACACATACATATCAGACTAACCTTTCCACTTATAATGGTATGAGTGCTCAGGTCACAGGGTCAGCTTCAGTGAGTTTTGCTAAGTAAGCATCCCATTCCAGTTTCTCTTGCATCTAGAATGCTCATCTAAAAATGGAAAAAGCAAACAATGAGTGAAAAGTAAAAAACTATAATGTAAAATCTAAAGCTTGGGGCTGGAGAGATGGCTCAGTGGTCTAAAGCACCTACTTGAAACAAGCTTGGCAAAGCACAAGGACCACGGTTCAATCCTCCAGCACCACATGCCAGCCAGCCCCGCCCCCTGGTGGGCTGAGCTGGCCACACACACACAATAAATAAATGTAATAAATAAAAATAAATATTAAAAAAAAAATCTAAAGCTTATCAAAAGCACCTTGATGTGTTTTGAGATGGGATCTACGTAGTACAGGTTGGCCTTGAACTTTTGATCCTCCTGCCTGAGCCTCCTGAGTGCTAGGATTTCAGGTGCGCACCACCAGGCCTAGCTGATCCTGGGTGTGTGTGTGTGTGTGTGTGTGTGTGTGTGTGTGTGTGTGTGTAAAATATAAGACTTTCAATCTTTTTTTTTTTTTGGTATTGGAAATTGAACTCAGGACCTCATGCTTTCCAGGCAGGTGCTTTACTGCTGAGCTATATTACTGGCCCCTCAACCATTTTTAAGTATACAATTCAGTGATATTAAGTACCTTCGAGTTGTTGTGCAACTATTGCCACAGCCATTTCCAGAACTGCTCCATCTTCCCAAACAAACTAGCTTCATTAAATACAAACTCCCAGTTTTTCATCAGCATCCAAAATTCTACCGTGTCTTCACAAATTTGACTGCTGTAGGAACCTTGCATGCATGGACCATATATTTGTTCTTTTGTGACCTTTTTCACTTACCCGTGGTCCTCAAAGTTTATCTATATTGTAGCACATACTCTCTTTTTATTTTCAATATTTGGGTTCAAACTCAGGGAATTTGCCCTCAGCTACATCCTCAATCCTTTTTATTATTTGCAGCCCAGACTGGGCTTGAATTTTTGATCCTTCTGACCGAGCCTCCCAGAGTTCTGGGTTATGGGTATGTGCTACCATACCCAGCATTTCCTTCATGTTTTGCTTTTGTTTCAGGTGCTCTGCCACTGCGTTATGTCCCTATCCCTTTTTTGAGACAATATCCTGCTAAGTTGCCCACATGGGACTTGTGATCCTCCTGCCTCAGCCTCCCAAAGTACTGAGATTACAAGTGTGCACCACTGCTTATTTTCTTGCTTTTTGAGGCTTGGTGACATTCCAAAGTATGGACAGAACACAGTTTGTTTACATGTTCATCTGTGAATGGATATGGGTTGCTTCTACCTCCTCTCTACTGTATATAACACTACCATAAAATAACACTACCATAAAAATAGCTATACAAATAGATGGGCCCCCTGCTTTTAATCTTTCAGATCTATACCCATTGACATGTTTTCACAGGGATCTCTTTATAGAAAACATTACTTAAAACAATGTTTTCTGAGAAAAGCATTAAAATTACACTATATTTACTATGTCCCCTGTAAAAGCCATGCCATAGTAGGACTAGGCCTGCTGCCAGGGTCAGGACCTTTCCCAGCAGAATGGAAACTCCTTAAAGCAGTCTGTCTCCAGAGGGATTTCCATCTCCAGTGGCAAAAGTGAAAGTTTCTTCTACTCTGGCTCTTAAGGGTACATCAGTAGGCCCACCTGCAACCCCATGGCTGTGGCCAGATTACACTGCACACTCTTCCATGCTCCAGTTATGAATAGTTAAGTATTCTGGGCTCTCGGCTCATAAACTTCTGGAGCAACCCCAGGCCCATCCTGTCTGGGTGAAAAGAACTGGCTCCTTCTCAGTGTAATAAGCATGTTTATAAACAGAATGAGAGCTGGACTGAGTACTGCCAACCTTCAGTTGATTGGCCCTGAATCAGGTTGAATATTAAACTAAAAACTTTAAAAGTGATTACACTCTGCAGAATACCTTCAGGGAGAAGCAGATGAGGAGCACTGTTTGCTGTAGCAAGATGTCCAGGGCCATGCTCGATTCAAAGGGACAATGAGGCAAGGAGACCTCCTTGTGCAACTTCTTCTTCCCCACATTCCTACCCAAAAGGAAGGCATGATATTTCTGAGGCCCTCAAACAAGCCTTGTGTTGACTTCTTCAAGGCATTTATTAAAAATGAATGGGGTGGGGGGGGAGTCCAGCAGCTCCGGCGGGAGGAACGGCAGCGGTCAAGCTGCGTATCTCCGCGAAGCTCCCGTGAGCCTCGACCTGCAGGTTCCGCACGCGCCCCAAGATGCCCAAGAGGAAGGTCAGCTCGGCCGAAGGGGCGGCGAAGGAGGAGCCCAAGAGGAGATCGGCGACATTGTCGGCTAAACCTGTTCCAGCTAAAGTGGAAACGAAGCCAAAAAAGGCAGCCGGAAAGGATAAATCTTCGGACAAAAAAGTGCAAGCAAAAGGGAAAAGGGGAGCCAAGGGAAAAGAGGCTGAAGTGGCTAATCAAGAAACCACGGAAGATTTACCTGCGGAAAATGGAGAAACTAAAAATGCGGAGAGTGCAGCTTCTGATGAAGCATAAGAAAAAGAAGCCAAGTCTGATTAATCACACACCGAGTCTTATCAGTGCTCTCTGTCTCCCTTCTTGTACAATCCAGAGGAATATTTTTATCAACTATTTTGTAAATGCAAGTTTTTTAGTAGCTCTAGAAACATTTTTAAAAAGGAGGGAATCCCACTTCATCGCATTTTTTAAGTGTAAATGATTTTTTTTAGGGTGAAATCATTCTCTGGTTATATTTTGGTACAACCAGAAATAGTGGGATATTGAATTATGACAGGCGTTGACTGTCTTGGGTGTCAGCTTAACATTCCATAGGTGGGGGTTAGTTTTATATCCTGCAATACAAAGCATACTAAAAGGCAATTTGGAATTACAGTCCTGCATTTAATATGTCTTGGATACTTTAAATGACTTCTATTCTCATTTTTGG